TGGTAAATGATCGTCCTTCCTCCCTATCCACACCCCACAGCCTCCTCACCCCCACCCAAGAAAGGCCTGGAGCAGGTCATCAAGGCATTGGGGCAAGTTCAATCTCTCTTCCTACTCTCACATTGCTCTTTCTCCCCCTGATGGAGTGCCCACAGTGTTTTGATTAGATCTGAGGTGTGATTTTGGGTAGAAGTAGGTAGAGCAGGGCTTTGGCCTGTCCAGTTGCAAGACACTTAGGCCTCTCTGACTTAAAAACAGGAGGCCTCCACAGGGTCCAGTTGAATTTGAGATTGGATTTGGGGAACTAAAGCTTCAGTGGGTAATAAGGTACCTTTGCTTTGCTTTAGATTCTGTGTATGTTCGTGTATGCATACAAATACATATACATATATATTGTATTCTGTTAGCATCCAGTATTATGGGTGGTGCTTACCACAGTTGTAATAACTAAATGATTAGTAATTAGTTGTTTAATGTCGATCTCTCTTAAATGGAAAGCTTTATGATGGCAAAGACCATGTTTATCTCTCTATACCCAGAATCTAGTACAGTGCCTTGGACATAGACATTCACAAAATATTTATTACTTGGTTGATTGGTTGACTGGATGGATGAATGAGGAATGGATGGAAAGATGATCAGCAATGCTGAATGTTATAGAAAGGTTAAGAGGAATGAGTACTGAAATTAGAACATAAATTTAATGAATAGCTGGCCGTTAGTGAGCTCAATGAGAGAACTACAGTGAAGTGGGGATGCTAGATGTCTGATTCCCCCTTAGCAGGCTGAGAAGAGAATGGGAGGAGGAAACAAAGACTGTGAGAACTCACTACTCTTTCAGAAGTCGCATTGTGCAAGGACAGGGACTGGTCTAGTGTACTTTCTTCGTTTCCAATTTTATATCCTTCGTCTTTATTTTTGAAAACAGTAAAAGGTCATAGAGAATAAATTCAGTGACCCAAACAGATGGTGAAGCTCAATGTCATTTCTAGTAAAAAACAGCATCGGATTCCAGAAGTAATACAACTGATCTTCTAATGCAACTCATAAACTACCTCCAAAGGCAATTCCCTAACACAGAGTCCAAACAAACACATTTTGATAATGGCGGCATCACTGAAATCAGGGTATGTTTTCCCACTGTGAATACTTTGAATAAATGCATGTTTGGCCATAAGAGTTCTGATATGCCTTTTTTTTTTTTAAGTATTAATTTAGAGTCACATAAAATGGGTATTAATAGTGTAGATTAAAGTAGTGCTTTCCTAAAATGCGTTACACACTTTAGGATGATTTAGTGGTACATGAACAGATTTTTTTACATTTACTATGTGTTGATTTTTGTATATATTAGCAAAAATACACCTAGCTCGTTAAATTCCTAATATGACATATATTACAAAGTTTCTTTGATCAATAATTTTTAATTATAAATTTAAGTTAAAATACTAATTGTTTTAAAGAAGGTATTATGTGTGATACTCAGAGATGGCAAAAATTGTTAGGGTGTTATACACATAATTCAAGTTTGAGAAACACTGGTGTCATAGAGAGAGTGTGGGCTTCTGGGGCTTACAGATCTGAGCTGAAATTCTTGCTCTGTCATTTGCTAGTTCCTGAATGACCTTGTGAAAGCTGCTTAACCTTTTTGAGCCTCAGATTACTCATCTATGAAATGAAAATAGCAATACTTACTGCACAGGGTTTTTCTGAGGACTAAAGGAAATCAAGCATTAAGGCCCCTAGCAGAGTCCTGGGCACAGAAATTGGTGCTCAATCAGTGGCAACTATAAAGCTTGATGATCCAAAAATTATACACATATTCAGAGACATACGGCTCGTGTGGCTGTCCATATAGAGGTGTCCATTTATTCCGGCTGACTTTCTTTCCCATCTGAAATGCTCGTGGCTGCAAATGACCACCCCGCTGGACTGGAGAGGAAGGTCAACAATAAAACAGAAGTGGCAGAGGCTCACAGGAGTCCTGGAGGCATTTGGAGAAGTGCCTGTGTCAGCTTAGGTGGCACAGAAAGGATCCTGGCAGATAAACAGTGTTCCAGTAGAGATGTTACCCTCCTAAGAGCTTGGTGAGCTTCAACCTTATAATTATTAACTTAAAAAGCCAAATGACCTGTGCAGAATGAAAGCCAGGGACAGTCTTATCAAGAATGAATCAGCCCCTTTGATCTGAAGGTAAACTGACTCACTAAACACCAAGCTTCCACCTGGGGTTTTTCCAGACACTAAAGCAGTTGCCTAATTCCCAGCTGTCTGGAATTTCCAGTCCAAACTAGCCTTAGGGAAAAAAAAAAAAAAAGATCTACCACCTTGCTGGAGTTCACCCTCCATTAAAAACATACAGAAGTCTGTGCTACTAACCCTATGAAATAGGGGCACCAGAAATATTTGTAAGGTAAGTAGATCTAATCCAGGTAAGGTAAAGATACAGTATTCCATTCAGTTTCGCACTAAACATTCAATTATAGAAAGAAGGGTAAACAGAGCAAAAACATAGAAGAGAAATAGAAGGCATTCAAGAGAAGGCAGAAAAGTAGAAGAAGATGGTGGAAGGGTAGCCAAAAGTGAGCATGTGAGGAAGATAAATCCAAAATACACCAAGTGGACTGGGAGAGAAGGGGGGATGAAGAAATGGGTGGAAAACGGAGGAAAAAGAAGAAAGAAGGGGTGCAGCTGAGCAAGCACCATCTTGATCAGCATCTCTCACTGCATTTCCAGAAGCCTCTCCTACCTACCCACCCAGAGATCATCTGCACTGCACCATGAATTAATCAGCATGTAAATCACCTCTTTATCTCCGGAAATTGAATTTAGCTGCCAATCTTGATTGAGGGCATACAGGCCTCCTCACAGAAAGATCACAGCTCTCAGAGAGAATGCCTTTTCTTCCCTTAAATCAAAGATCTTGCAAAAACCCATGGAAACAGCTGCAGCTGGAGTCACAGACTTTGTGAAAGGTGGCAGGCTAAGGACGGTAATTATAATTAGCAGTTACGTAACATGTTTGCTCTTCAAAGTGCTCTAGAAGCATCAGCTAATTAATAGCTTACTATGCCCCATGCAGATCCACTGGTTTTTCATGTAGTGACTAATCCCTGTACCCCCACTGAATTCTGAATGGTGGGAAGCAGAACAGCTTGAGAAATGAAGCAAATGGCTGAGGGTCCAGAAGCTATGCCCAGCTCTCTTACAAGTGACTCCATAGCTTGCTCTGTGCCAGGAAGACCTCCCCAAACTTTTGAATTTAGCATCCTCAGCAGCTGCTTCGCATCCTTCAAATAACTCTCGGAGGTGCTATTAGAGATGCAATAATAGGTTGTACTGACCTTCATTCTGGCCCAGTATGGTATTAACTCTTCTCAATTTCCCCAACTATTAAGAATGGAACCCAGGAGTCTTTGGTGTTAGTTATAAGTTTGCTCTTACTTCTCTGTGCAAGTTGAGTAAGTCCTGGGCAAAATCTCTACGAGAAGGTTGACCTAGATCTCTGGGTTCTCATCCAGGTCTACCCGTCTTTGTTTCTATGATTAGAGTCTCTAGCCTATGACCTCTTGCATCTGCGGTGGAGATGACCAAATATGGAAATTTCATGGCACAGGCAGGGCCTCAGCAGCAAAGCTGAGGTCCCATCTACTCCAGGGATGCCTTTGTCCAAGTACTTCAAAGGTCCACAAGCACCCTGAATTTGTTGGTAAAACATTACAAGTATACGTATGTGCATTTCTTTGCGGAAAGGCCCTGTTTCCCCTATTGTATTGTAAACTTCAAGAAGGCAGTGTCTAGCAAAGTACCTCACTAATAAAACCAAAAACCAGCTGCCATGGAGTCAATTCTGACTCATGGCAACCCCACATGTGTCAGAGTACCTCTGGGTGGACTCAAACCTCCAAACTTTTCGTAGTAGCGAGTACGTTAACCGTTTGGACCACCCAGGACTCTCCTCATAGATAATACAGGTTAAACAAATATTTGCTGAATGAATGGACTCATCAAATTCCCATCCCCAAAATGGTTATGAACCATTGCTCTAATAGACTAATGATCAGAAGTCCACATGTTTTGCTTGCTCTGGCCAGATTTCCCTACAGACAACTTTGGTTGGCAAGACCAGAGATATTCTACCGCAGTTCTGCTGCTAGTCAAACCAGAGACCTAGACCAGACCTATCTTGAGATTTCACTCTTCAGAAATGTGTCATCATAGCCAAGCAAGTCAACATCTAGAAATACATTCCCAAAGCCATTCGGGGCTATGTGACGGCCATTTGTTACCTCCCTCAACTGATTATCACTAATGGTAAGAATTACTGCCTTTTCCCACTTTGTCTCCTGGAGGCAGATGTGTGAAATGAAGCCATGTGCACAGGATATGTATATTTCTCATTCATGAGAAGATCCTCTTCACGTGAGGCTAACAATTTCAGCAAAAGACCTAACATGGTCACAGTGCTTTATACTTTTCAAAATGCCCCCCATAGATGATCTCATTTGATTCCCCCATAACCCTTTAAAGTAGAAAAGGCAGATTTTATTTCTCCCCGTTATAGATGAGGAAACTGAGGCTTAGAAAGACACACAGCTAATGGCACCGCTAGAATTTGAACTAAAGTCTCAAAACTCCTTTTCATTATACCACTTTCTCTCTGAAAGGCTGTCTCCATGTGCTAAGTCAAGACTTTTAAGTATGCCCCCTGAGAAAACCATTCAGGAAGAAAAATTTCTCAGCCAGCCAAGCAGAGGAGACAGGAATCACTGTGATTTAAAGTGAGTCTCGAAAGATACATATAAATTTTTCTATCCAACTTGTTTTCCCAACCCACTCTAAATCTTTGGGATTTATCACATACATAAAGCCAGGCGCCCACCTAGGTAAGTGACCCAGCCAAGCACGGTACACAGAGTGAGGCAGCAAATGAATGGTTTTATGTCCCACTGGCTTTCTTGCTCCCAGGTAACAGGGGCCCAGCAGAATGAAGTCTGTACCTGTGCATGTCAAAGTACTTTCTCTCCAGGTGCCTTTCTCTGTGCACACGGAAGTGATCTTTCCTCCAGGGCTCTCAAAGCCCTCTTGACAGGCATAGTGAGCCACACTGCCCAGGCTGGACCTGTGATTCCCCACCAGGACTGCATGCTGCACTTCTGGAGGGCTGCCACAGTCGATCTCTGCAATGGGAAGTAGCACAGCACTAGTTATGAGCCCCAACTTCTACCCCTATAATTAGTATTTTAGAAATACATAATTAGTAATGATAGAGTTCATTAACATGGAAAAAGAGAAAACACTAACCCCATCAAACTATAGGGTATATAAAATTCAAGATTATCCAAAAGTACAGAAAACAGGTGTGTCTGACTTTAACAAAGTTTACAAATATGTGCACATAGACGATAGTCAGATTATGAGATTATTTACATTATAGCAAATTCCTTGAGCTATATAATAAGCCATCGCAAGATTCTTTTAAATACCGAGAATTTTTAGTACCTTTTATTATGTATTTTCAGATCATTAATTCCTGATTAGATGATAATGCAATTGTGAGAGCATTGTCAACTGAAAATTAAAGGAAATACATACAAAATCTCTGAGCTTTTCAATGCAAATTATTGAAGAAAATATTTACCTTCTAAACATTCAATCTTATACACACCTTTCAAAGAAAAAAAATCAGTTGCAGAGAGAAACAAATTATAAAACTGACATTAAATTTCTCCTCTGGAACTCTGACTACTAGAAGACAATGGAATATATTTACAGAGAACTATTTGAAGAAGAAGAATTATGTCCTTATCATTCTAGACCCAGATAAATTATACTTTACATCAGAACAAAAGAAAATCATTTTTAGGTGTGCTAGAATTTAAAATAAAAATCCATCTATCTATCTTTTCTGGAGAAAAAACTCAAAAATAACTCCAGTTTAACAAAAAATGAATCAGAATAAATATCCTAAGAAAGGGGAGAACGGGCTTTAGAAGAAACACTACTGAGCAATGAAATCAGCAAGATGTACAGATAAGCCTCAGTAATCATTTAGATGTGATTGCAGAGCTTGATATAACTAACAGTACAGAACTTTAGAAATAAAGGCTATAAATGTAAGAAAATTAATAACTTGAAAATAAAATTCCAAATTATTTCAATAAAATCTGAGCATTTTAGTGGTGAAGAGAAGTAAAGCATGCTAAATTTCTCATATTCTACAATAGGAGGAGCTCAGAGATACAATTGTATTCAGAAAGCATAATAAAAAAAAATTCTTTGATGGTTACCAGGGATGAGAGAGGGGAAGGGAGCGAAAATTACCAATTAGATAGAAGACACAAGTTAATATTGGTGAAGGGAAAGGCAATACATAATATGGGGGGAAGTCAGCACAACATGACCACGGCAAGAGAGAACATTCAGAGGATCACAAGAATAAAGGGCATCTATGGTAACTACTGTAGCTTAGACAATCCTGCAACAATAGTATTAACAAATAATAATTTACGAATGTATAAATAGGTAGATAGATGCACCAAGAGGTGCGGGAGGATGTAAGGGAGCACACTCACTGGCAGATATAGGTTTGGTGGTGGATATTTCTACACCCATGACTATAGATGTGGCTCATATATAGGTGGGTATAGTCAGGGAAACCTCTTAGACATAACCAAACACCTTATGGGATGAAGTTCCTAGGCTAGAAGACAAAGGATCATAGACTTGGGGGACATCTATATTAACTGGCACAACATAATTCATAAAGATAATGTTCTGCATCCTACTTTGGTGAGTAGCATCTGGAGTCTTAAAAGCTTGTGAGAGGCAATCTAAGATACAACTATTGGTCTCTTCCAGCCCAGAGCAAAGGAGAGTGAAGAAAACCGAAGACTCAAGGGAGCAATTAGTCCAAAGGACTAATGGACCACATGAACCACAGCCTACGTGACCCCGAGGCCAGAAGAACTAGATGGTACCCAGCTACTACCAGCAACTGCTCTGACTGGGATCACAACAGAGGGTTCTGGACAGAGCAGGAGAATATTGTAGAACAAAAAATCAAATTTACAAAAAACACTAGACTTAGACTGGTCTGACAGAGACTGGAGGAACCCCTGAGACCATGGCCCTAAGATACCCTTCTGACCTAGAACTGAAGCCATTCCCGAAGGCCACCTTCCAGCCAAATAGTAGATAAGTCCATAAAATAAACAATAACACCCGTGAGGAACATGTTCCTTAGAACAATCAATTATAAAAGGTCAAAAGAGCAATATCTGCCCAAAAGCAAAGATGAGAAGGCAGGAAGGGGCAGAAAAGCAGGACGAAAGGAAACAGGGGGCCCAGGGCGGAAATGGGGAGAGTGCTGACACATTGTGGGGAATGAAGCCAAGGTCATGAAATACTTTATGTAAAAACTATCAAACGGGAAACTAATTTGCTCTGTAAACTTTCACCTAAAGCACAAAAAGAAGAAAGCATAATAAATATAAAATAAGATGGCAGTAATAATTCTAAATGTAACCAATAGTCCCTTTTATGCTCATATACAGAAAGAAAAACATAACTTTCAGTATTCATTCTGATTTTTTAGTTTTCTCCCCAATCTGTAGGAAGCCAAGAAAATTAAGCACTCCCGGCGGCCAGCCTTTTAAAACAGAAGTCCATTTATTGAGATAAAGCATTTAAAATAAAGAATATGGTATAATCTGTTCCCATCTCCCCATCATCCATTCTTGGCCTTAGAAATAAGTGGCTTCTCTTAAATGTCTCTGATGCAGAATTGGTGGATTTAATGGAATTGCACTCGTCTCAGTCCTCTGTTGGATGCTTATCTATCGCAGGACCCCAGAGTTATTTCTTTGAGGGAAGCTTTCCAGAGCAGTTTTATCTGTTGTCTTTGGAGTTATCATAACAACCTCAGTACAACAGCCCAGCCCTCTTGACCAGTTTCTTGGCTTTAAGATGAAAAAAAGTCTCTGCTCAGTGCAGACCCAAGTCATGAGCCGTTATGGGACTAGAATAAGATGATTATTTCATAAATTCTCCAACCCTCTGTACCTTTTGAGTCTCATGTTTGCTCAGAATTTTATTCCCTTTTCATATATGTTTAGCAGACACAAGATCCCTTGGCTCTCATCATGTTTTCCCAGCACCAAACCTTTAGACATATCTATTGACTCAAAACATTCCAAGACATGAATATATGTGTATATACATGAGCAACTAACCAACAGGTAGTTAATGTTTCATAAGACTGCCCCATCATTGTTGATATCAAAATATCTTACAGTTTAAGCCAGGTTTCAGTTACAGGAGGAAGAAGAAGGAGCATCATTGAAAAGACTGAGGGTATAGATTTATGTACGTTTAAGTACCTAGATGCTGGAATGCTAAAGAATAAGGTGGAGGGGTGTGGGAGGTAACCCAGTGACAGAGAATTGAATCTGAAAAGGCACAGATACTAAAGGGATGAGAGTACAGAAAATAACCAGACTGACTTCCATCCTGGACACGACCAAGAATAGTGGACAGCATGGTGGCTTTAGACGGGACTGCAAGATTCAATAATAATAATAATACCAAAACTCACTGGGTTGATGAGAGATTGATGGCCAGGTCTTTAGAGACTAGGGATCAAAAGCTCAAGTAGATACCCTAGTGGTAAGCAGCCTGGACCTGTGACTCTATGAGTTCCCACCAGAGAGCTATTTAAGTTGGACAGTCCCTTGGCAAAACACGTTTAGAGAAAATTCTGGCATGGCTTGGATTAAACTCAAGGTTCCAAACAACAGCTGTACCTCTGAATCACCTGAGAGCTTTTGAAAAACACACCTGCTGGAGTCCCACCTACCACCTCTACCCAGAGATAACTCTTTTGATTCAGTAACAGAGTTGGGATCTTGGCATCCAAATTTCTACAAAGCTCTAAATTTTATTTTGATGCACACTCTCAGCTGAGAATCTGAATTAAATAATGGTGTGACCAGCTACTGTTTATCACATACATCCTGATAGTATCCAATGGATGTCTCATTACTCCTCACAGTCACCCTGCATAGTAGGGATTATTTGCCCCATTTTACAGGTTAAGGTGGCTCAAAGAGGTTAAATAACACACCCAAAGTCATATATGTAGATATTTGATGGCCAGGAGTTGAATCCATGTCTATCCTATTTCTTCTCCTAAATCCACTGCCTCTGAAGAGTCGCTCCATTTCTGAAATCCTACAGTACATACCCTCCCACCCTAAACTTACTGATTTCTGTTTTTAAAAGACCACTTTGTCTGCTGGGTGAAGAGTGAATGGAAGAAGGACAGGAGTGAAAGGAGAGAGATCAGTTAGGGGGTATAGTAGGAGTCCAGAGAGAGATGGTGAGGTCTTGGATGGACTTGAGAGGTGATGCTAGAAATGGAAAGAAGAGGATGTACTTGAGATATGTTAGAAGCAGAGCTGATTGTTCTTGGTGATGGACTGGTGGTGGAGGAAAGAGAAAAAGTGGAATCAAGAATAATTATTTATAATACTTACCTATACTATTCATTTGACTTTGTTTCCTGCATTAAACAATTTAGTCTTTTTATGAATATGTTATGATGTATCCCTAAGTATATGGACAATTCTTAAAGGATAGAATCTCTGTCTTACAATTTCTTGTATCCTCCACGCAAGGCCTATCTAAAATAGTATGTTTTATATAGTAAACACTCAGTAAATAGTTGTTCATTGATAGCTTGCTACTACTTTATCATTTTTCAAGATGCAATAAATGTTACTTCGATATGATAACAGCCCCTAAGGAAGAAAACAGACATTAGTAAATTGTAAGTACAAAAAATAAGACAGGAACACATTACCTCTATATCTGTTGACCAACAGGGGTAACTCACACCTACCAAACACCAAGTAGATGAGAACTGGCAAAAGCCCCACAAAAACTAATATCAAGGGGTTTCTGGGAAATTTGTTCAAGCCTCAATAATACGAATAATAATAATAGCAGTCATCAAAATTCTACCAAATGCCAGGTAGGCTACTAAAAAGAAACTGTCTTAGTTATCTAATGCTGCTGTAACAAAAATACCACAAGTGGATGGCTTTAACAAACAGAAATTTATTCTCTCACAGTTTAAGAGGCTAGAAATCTGAATTCAGGGTGGCAGCTCCAGGGGAAG